CACACACACACACACAAATCAGGCCAATAAGACACAGGTGGGGGGGGAGGAGACAACACAGGGCACCAGGTGAACACAATCACCAGTCACAGACAAAACGGGAGGGGGAACACTTTCAAACCAAGGCCCATTCCCAAACCGCCCCCTACACCCTACCCCTCCGTTTGCGCGTTCACGCGGAGGGTCCGCCACTATTGAGGGCTGTTACAAAGCAACGAGTGTGGAGCGGTGTGGAGGGGGAGTGGGCTATCAAGCCCTCAAACAGCGAGTCTGCAGCGGTGCTGACTTGAGACCGGTCTCTACCTGACCGGAGTCACGCTGTGTGTGTCGTCAGGAAACAAGCTGTTTACAAGTAGTTCCAGCAAACATCCACTTATAAACTGCGATGTTAACAACCTCATGATAACCTCATATATGTTTTTAACTTAGGATCATACCTGTGTTTAGTCTAGAAAAAGGTAAATGTGTGCATTTTATTATAAAGTTGTGTATATTTACAGACCGTTGCAAAAAAACTAAGAAGCTTATAAACATCAGGTTTAAAACTAAAAGAGCTTTGAAACACAATGAAAGATGTTTGGAGTTTTATTTGAGTTATTCATTTAAACTTTTTGTCTAAGAGATGCTGATTTGAAACCGTTGTTACATACAGTTACGGCATTCCCTGTTTTTGCCGGAGAGAGGGGATGCCGTCTCAAAGCTTGCTGCTGTATTTACTCCCTCCATCCGACAGGAGGGAGCCTCGTTGAGCTGCGAGTGTGGCTACAGACGGAGTTCACTCCGTTACGGAGGGGTAGGGTCGAGGGAGTGGTTTGGGATTGGGCCTAAACCACATGTGCAATATTACAAGGCCCGAAGCTGTCAGTCCACAGTGACGAAGTTACCTTCAACAAGACACATGTGAGGGGGGAGGAGACAACACAGGGCACCAGGTGAACACAATCAACAACAATGAAGCTATACAACCCGTAACGGAGGCCGAGATCTATGGCCCCGGAGATCACCTCCGTGACAGTCACCAAACCTAATTTCCCCCTGGGATTAATAGGTATTTATATTGTTGATTAATCGATAGCAATTTTAAGGACATTTCTCTTTTTTTTGTGGACTTATATTTTATTAGGTTACCCATGCAAATTAGGTAGTCAACATTAAGGGATTGAGCATTTGTTTTAGATTGGGTCATGTGTTTGAATGACCCATCCATCCACCCCATCCCCCTTAAACCAAGTCACCTGACTTCCAGAGCCATTGCTTTGAGAGTCTAACACTGAAGTGGCCTGAAATCGACAGCCAAAGATGAGAAATACAAAGTCTGAGTATGATTCACATGCCAGGCTGGCAATCTATAGTATACCATTTGATTTAAAGGATAACATCAGCCTTGTGTGTAACTAAACTACAGAAAATTAATGTGAGACGTTTTTTTAAGTTAATCTATCTTTGACGATAAACTGGTGACAATATGGCCCGCTATATATTGAAAAATCATATACCTGACAAGTATATATTTTGTCATTTGTCAAGTAAAAAGCTGTCCACTCTTGCTTAATTCAGTAAAAAATGTTTACTTGGATATTATATTATTATTTGTTGATTCCTTAGTATGTTTGCAAATATTTTTTTTTAATTCTGATGTAAGGACCTGCTTTACATTAAAATACATTTGAAACGCCGGTAAAACGTTATTATGTAACCATCAGCAAATCAAAAAAATCCATCCCTACTGGGATATTGACTTCACCCAGATGGGTTTTCATTAATGAATGGTGTTTGTACAGTGGAAGTATATCAACAGTGTGGAGGGGTGAGGAAGAGAAGGAGTGTCAAAGAAGAAAGGGAGGAAAAGGGGGATAGAACAGAAAGGGTTTGAAAGTGTTCCCCCTCCCGTTTTGTCTGTGGCTGGTGATTGTGTTCACCTGGTGCCCTGTGTTGTCTCCCCCCCCCCCACCTGTGTCTTATTGGCCTGATTTGTGTGTGTGTGTGTGTGTGTGTGTGTGTGTGTGTGTGTGTGTGTGTGTGTGTGTGTGTGTGTGAGCGCAGTGGGGGGAAGCAGCAGTGGCAGCGCTGCATCATCACTACTGCTACTACAGAAGAGAGGAGAGGCAGTTTACTGCCTGCCTCCCTGATCTATCTCTCACTCTTATACAGACACACACATACACACACATTCATGCTATACACACAAACATACACAAGAAGTCAGCCAGCTGCCTCTGAGCCTCACTACCAGCCTCACAGAGGAGAGATCCCGGTGACATTATCCATCACTTCTGGAGGTTCGCCTGCCTGCACTCTTCCTGCTGGCAGCGCTCTGAGTGTGTGTTCGTTCCCTGTTAGCGGTCCACAGAAAAGGCTGCCACTTCCAGGTCTGACACTGCTTCTTTGGACTCTCTTGCTTTTGTTTGCTGAGACAGTCGTCACTGTCAACGTGAAGGAGTTACAACATCACAGCTGCCTGGAATATCGGCATTATTTTTCCCTCCCTTTTTCCTTTGCAAAGAGAGGAAGTGGATCCCTGGATTTTTCCGGTGGCAGTGTGCCAGAGCAGAATGCTTACCTCAGGATTTGCAGTCTAGGGGTGGTGGGATGGGGGGGGCTATGATAAACAGCTGCGAGGCGAGGATGGTTAGCACTGCAGCATCAGACTGTTGTTCTACGTTGGGGTTTTTGTTTGCTTCTCGAGGGTCCACACATATATCACAACTTAAAGCAGAAGCAGTGGAACCTGGTTGCATTTTTCATACACAATGGATTACTGTTACTTTAAGGACGGGCCACTAAGGGAAGAAAGATCCTGATTTAGGGATAACAGGAGCACCGGATGAACAACTTCAAGATTGGAAAAGAGACTTTATGGACAGGTCAATGGCTACGTTGAGCTGAAACCGCCCCCCTTCTACTCCCTGCCCGCTCCAGTCCAAACATGAACTCTTCTTCTGATGCGAACCAAAGTGGTTCTCCCCCGTTCTGCCTGCTGGGCTCCGTGGGTTACTCCCGCAGCCTGGATACCTGCGTGCTGGAGGTGGTCATCATCCTTTTCCTCACTGTGCTCATCATTGCTGGCAACCTGGTGGTGATCTTCGTCTTCCACTGCGCCCCATTGCTGCACCACCACACCACCAGCCACTTCATCCAGACCATGGCGTACGCCGACCTGCTGGTGGGGGTCAGCTGCCTGGTGCCCTCGCTGTCCCTCCTCCACTACCTCCGAGGCCTGAATGAGGAGCTCACCTGCAAGGCCTTTGGCTACATGGTTTCTGTGCTGAAGAGCGTCTCCATGGCCTCGCTTGCGTGTATCAGCGTGGACCGCTACATCGCCATCACCCGTCCACTGTCCTACGCAACATTGGTGACGCCATGCCGACTGAGAGTGTGCATCGTCCTGATCTGGGTTTACTCTGCTCTGATCTTCTTGCCATCCTTCTTTGGCTGGGGGAAGCCAGGATACCATGGGGACATATTTCAGTGGTGCGCAGACTCTTGGAAGACCAACCCAGGGTTCAGCACCTTCATCGCGGCGCTGCTCTACGCACCAGCAGCGCTCACCGTCTGCTTCACCTACGGGAGTATATTCCGGATATGCAGGCAGCACACAAGAGAGATCACCCAACGGCATGCCCGCTTCAGCTCGCAGGTGGAGGGCGATAAAGGCGAGCGGGGGGAGCGGTGTGAAGGGTGCCCGGACAAACGCTACGCCATGGTGCTGTTCCGCATCACCAGCGTCTTCTACGTGCTGTGGATGCCGTACATCCTTTACTTCCTCTTGGAGAGTGCTGGGCTGTATCACCATAAGGTGGCATCCTTCCTTACAACATGGTTGGCAATAAGCAACAGCTTCTGTAACTGTCTCATCTACAGCCTCTCAAACAGCGTCTTCCGGAAAGGTCTGGGCCGCCTCTTTAGCCCGTTGTTCCCCTCCTGTCTCGGCTGCATGGAGGCCAAAAAGGCGCCAGTTATTGGCCCCCGGGCAAACACCCGATGTCAAGTGTGAGCCCTGACACCTCTGATTTTGGATTGTTCACTTTGGGGGCATCCACCCTCTGTGTGTGCTTTGTTCAGCTGCGTAGCATGACACAGGTGGACCCGCAGTGAAATGTGCTGGGGACCCCCTGCATGGAGCACGGAGAGGTGCCTGTGCAGATGCCTGTTGGTTGTCTACAAGGCTGATTTTGTGGTGGCTGTGAAGCTTTCACGAATGCTCTTCACTGTGATGCCGCTCTTTCACAGCTGCAAAGATCACAACCTGACAACACGGAGTAAAGAAGTTTGATGTCGATGGAGGAAGGGGACAGTAGGAATAAGATTCATGTGTTTCACTTCAGATGATTTAATAAGCACTCCTGCCTGCACTAACAACTCCCAGATGCAAAAAAAGGAAAGCACAGCCCGACTTGTGTTGTGTGATCCGCTGAAATGCAAAAAAAAATCCCCAAACCTGACTAGAAAATACAATTGTCTTGGTTCTTTCAGGGTACATTAGGCAATGCAAACACATTTTAGGACACTGATCTGTTTTCCTTAGGGAACACCAGATGCTAATGAGTTAATGAGTGTATGAAATACACCTTTCATCTGATAATCATATAATGTGTGTGAATCGGATGGACTTCAAGAGTATTTCTCAATGAGAAGACAAAAGATTTATTTCAAATGTTAATCAAAAGGTTTTCTCTCTTTGAAGCTGGTTGTTTGTGAGAAGCTTCAAGTATGTTTACACAGTCTCGGGTTTCACATGAAATTGTTGATTCAAGAATTAGCTTTGCTTTCTTATGGTGGCTGCTGGTTTTCCTGCTGGCAGACAGTGGTGTGTCCTCTTCAGCATGACAATACATTAATTTATTAGGAGAGTTTTATTTGTTGGTTATTTGTTTGCGTTTCCTCCTCAGGTTTATCGGCCCTACTTTGTTAAGCCCCTGGGCTGTTTGCCTTGGATCTCCGCTGAAACAGAACATGACTCTTAAATCACAAGCCACGTAGCGTCTTAAGATAACCTCCTCCTGCCTCGTCGACTGTTGATGATCAATCAGCTTTCTGCGGGGATCCACATGGCCTCCATGCAAAGACTGACTCCATTGTTATCTGTAAACTTTATTATCTGCCCTCCAGCAGTGGATGGCTGTTCAGATGAGTGTAAAGTGAAACACAAGTTTAATCACAAGCTCGACCACGGAGGGCAAGAGGGTCAGAGCACTTTTTCTAAGAGCCAGTGACTGCTTGTGGCTTGGTGTAAATATACTTCGTAGTTTCAATATTCAAACAGTGGTTAACTGTAAAGAGGACCTCCAGGGTTACAAATGTGGATGTTTTTTAAGATAATTTATTTCTCAAAGCCAAGATGTCTGACATTCTACCCCAGAGACTGAACCTGTTTTTTTTTTTGCAATGTTAATAAGTGTTTTTTACATACTGCAGGAAAATGTTTTATAAATTTAAAGTCACATTGAAATGTTTTTTCTGATAGCGTCTTGCTCTTGATTAAAACATAGTTGTGGAAAAAGAAGAGTAAAGAGAATCTTTTGGAGAATTGTTCAGGAAAACACTATATGGCTAAATGCACGGCCCAAACCACGTTTTTAAGGTTTGGGCTCCTAATATCCATTAGCAAAACACTTTTTCTAAAGGGATCTTACAACAGTTAATCAGAATCTATCATTACAAATAATATGCCATAGAAATGTACATTTTCCCTTAAAACAGCCTGAAAAATTATTGGTAAATTGTAAAACTGAACCGAAAACCAAACCACAGTTTACAACACTGCTGTTGTAATGTACTGTTTACTTTATTTATTGGATTATTTAACAGGGAAGGTTCACATTGCTTAACCAGACATTTCCGAGAGACTGATAACAGTTTGTATGTTTAATTTTGTCACAGTTTCCCAGTCAGCTTGATCCTGTTAAATAGAGCTGCAACTAACCATTATTTTCCTTATGGATTCATCTGCTGATTATTTTCTTTAATAATAAATGTATCAAACGTAGGAAAAAGTGAAAAATGTCAATCACGGGTTGTCAAAGTTCAAGATGATTTTTGTTTATCTATTTTCTTGCTGGTCTGAAACCCAAAGTATTCCCTTTAAATTGAAAACAGCAAAACAAACAAAAAAAGATTCAAGATACAAAGTGTACCTTAATGTGTATTCAGTTTAACAGAGTATTTTGATCTAGACATTTGGGATAATTTATGTGGTGTTATAAATGTGTATTATAACAAGGGTCATCACTTGAAAATTGAACGTACATTTTTTACCTCAGAAGCAAGTTCCTCATCAGTTACAGTAGAAGTTGATGTGAATGACCTGATCCTCAGCAGGTGAAGGTTGTCCAGTTCTAATTGACCTTACAAGCAGTTTCTGTAGTGAGGATTTATAAATAAAGCAGGGCTTTAGGGCAGGGGTCAGAGTAGGGTCACGGTTCAGAGTTTAACATTAGGACTTTTCCAGTTCAACGGTCACACCAGCTGCTGCCAGGGGGATAAAACCTCCTAATGACCCCACTGTGCTGATGTTCTATTTATAAAGCATTTTTATATGCAATGGTATGTATTCAGCATCTGCTACAATGTGATTTCCTCTGACTTGTTTAATCCCTGCTTGATTGGTTGTGAAAAATGCTCCACTGATGGACCTTTCCTGCATGATTCTGGTTCTGAGAGTAACTTTACTCCATGTCTTCGGCTCCTAACTACTGTTGTGTACCACAGATGGCTTATTATGTTTTCTTATGAGAGAAAATCATTCCTGTTCATGTCTGAAAACCCTCTAACCTTCCTGTGATCTTCACCTGTTGCTGCCGTGAGGATAAAATGACACAAATATGCAAACAGTGAAAACACAAAAACCAAGAGCCTAACCTTAAAAGGTCTCATTTAACCTAACATTGTCAAAGTAAACACCTGAAATCTTTGCATTATATTTATGACAGCAGTGGGAGTCAATGCAATGCAGCTTACTGGTGTTAACACAAACCACAATAAATTAAGAAAGCAATGTCTTAATGAAAGGGCTTTTATTATCTCAACACTGGTTAGGCTGTTTGCTACTCAGCGTGTGATCTGAGCAACTGCTGTAAATTATTGTATGAAGGTGCAAATGTAAGATTAAAATGATATGTTCTGATTCTTTGTTTTGGATTCATTTGGGACTTAATATGTTTGCAGTTGGGATGGCTGTACGTGTGTGTTTGTATTTCCCCTCATTTTACAATAAACAAATCCTGTTGGATTAGGAGAAGATTTAGGTTTACGGTTGTAGTCCGAGTACTGATTATTCACGTGCTTGAAGCGTTTTGTTTCATGCAGGTAAACAGTCCGTTTGGAGAGCAAATGTATGGTGGCCGACAGGGGCAAATCAAAGTCAAAGTCAGTCTACTTTATTGTCAATCTCAACATATGTTTGTACACACAGAAAGATCGAAATACTGTTTCCCACAGTCCCGAGGTCTAAAATAACACATTAAAAAACAAGAGCACTCAATAATTAATGCGTTACAACAACAACTGTCCATGCAGTGCTTTGAGTAAACCTTGCGTGTGTTTCATCTAGTTGGTGAATGTTTTCTGTGTTGTCAAGTTTGTGCAGATGTTTCTTCATTTGCATGAGTTTTGGCATATTAGTTTGTTTTTTTTTGCATCATTTTCGATAGTGCAAAGCATTTCTCCTAATGGAAGTGTTTTGAGCCGCTGTAGCGTGTTTGCATTGGACAGCCACCGTACAAAGAGGCAGAAAACATTATCAGAAAGCGATATCTGAATTCATTGGCTATCGTTTGAAAACCAATAACTTTTCATTATCTGTAAATTAGCTTGTAAACTGGGACAACATCTGTTACACCAAAACCACTCAAATATTCACTTGGCCCAAATAATTATCAGACATATTCATATATAATTCACATTTCATTGAAAGAACACTTTCAGGACTCAGACTACAGAGCAGATTTGGCAAAAACAAACAATATAAACAAAACATTTTAAAAATATTAATATATAGCAATATAAATTTAGCTTAGTGTCAGAAAAATAAAAGAAGTGCATTGTAAATTATACTTTTCATGTGTAATTATTTTAGTTTGGGCTCTTGCATATCAATTTTTGGATTACAAGTAAGGTTTAAACATTCCCCTGTTGTTGTACAGTTTTTAAAGCAGAAGCCGAGAAGGGGGACTCGGGCGGACGGCCCGGGGGCAAAGCAGAGGCCGAGAAGGGGGACTCAGGCGGACGGCCCGGGGGCAAGGTAGAGGCAAAGAAGGGGGACTCGTGCGGACGGCCTTTGGGAACAGCAACAGAGCAGGGAAGTCCGCGGCGGGGAAACTCAGAGAGCCGAAGACAGGGGTGAAGGCCTCGTCGGGGTAACTTAGTGGGGCGGAGTCGAGGGAGAAGGCAGCGGCTGGGAAAATCAGGGGGCCGGGCTCGAGGGTGAAGGCATTGGCTGGGGAAGTCAGGGGGCTGGGCTCGAGGGCAAAGGCCGCGGCTGGGGAACTCAGGGGGCTGGGCTCGAGGGCGAAGGCCGCGGCTGGGGAACTCAGGGGGCCGGGCTCAAGGACGGGCAAGAAGGCGGCGACGGGACAGCTCCGGAGGACGGGCAGGGAGACGGCGTAGAGCAGGAGCACAGGGATCGGGAGCACTGGGAGCTGGAAATAGTGGAACCCCCGGTGGTACAGGAACCGGTGTCGGCCGGACAGGAAACGGAGCCGTCGGGACAGGTGCAGACGGAACCCAAGGGCTGGTGTTGACTGGACCCCAGACGGAACAAGGGCTGGTGTCGACGGGACCGCCGTCGGAACAGGACAAGGTGTCGGCGGAAGAGGCATCAGCAGGACCCCCAACAGAACTGGACATGGTGTAGGCGGGACCCCCGGCGGGTTATGATCTGGTGGCAGCGGGACCTCTGACTGAACAGGATTCGGAGCTGGCTGGACCTCCGACGGAACAGGCGTTGGCGGGACCCCCGGCGGAGCAGGTGTCGGGGGACCCCCAACAGGTCAGGGC